CAGTCTAATTTACCAGCAGTGAAATACGCCGAAGCACATACAGGAGGCTGAGTTTCCAACAGTGTGGTCGTTACACAATCTGGTGTCAACTTGAGACTACTTAGAATGAAGGGGTGGAATTTAGCCTGTCAATCAGGTCGCAGCTTGATTTGGAGGCTCGATGGAGACAAATAACTCCCTGGAGGCCAGACCCACTCTCTCTGCTTCGTCTTTCTGTTGACAAGACACATGGAGCTAGGCTAGAACCCTGGAGCTGGAGGAACCATGTGGAGACCCCTGCCAGCTCTGAGACTTTTCACTCCCGGGCGTGTGACCTTCTGGCATTCAGCGTCACTGCATGGCTGCATTGAGTCTGAAGAGGAATTTATAGATTGGTATCAGACATATGGGATAATATTGGACTTATGGACTTGATCTGGACTGGGCTGTGATGTTTTCTCAATAAACAATTACTCTTTGATATAAAGCTCTCTCTTCCATATATATGAGTGTCCTGGATTTGTTTCTCTAGTCAGCCCAGACTAACACAAACAGGGAACCACATCTAAGATCTAAGGGGGGGGGGGGGTGTCAGAGGGGGCACCAGGGGGAGACAGGGAAGGTGGCCTTGAGGAAGTATGGGGTAAGGCAGGAAGAAGTTCCGCATGGGGTACGGGATGGAGGGCATGGGGACTGTGTTCCTGGCAGAAGGCATCCTGCTGGCAACCCCCCCCCTCTCTCAGCCTCACAGTGCACACTAGCCTGAAACAGGCCTGAGAAGTCCCACAGAAAAGGGCTAGCAGGGCCATGAAGAGCTTCTCAAGGATGTTTCTCTGGGAGCTGCAGATAGAGGAACTATTGTCTCACAGCCTTTAGGGAACTCCAGCAACACACAAAAGCTCCTGTTAGTATTACTGGAAACCTATCGTGTGTCCTACTACAACAGCCAAAATACCTTGGAGTTGCTAATGTAATTCCACAGTCTTTTCCTTGGCACATGCCTACAAAAACATATGGTTTCCACAACCGTGAACATAACTCCCAGGATAAGAGATGAAGGAAATTCCACAGCCCAGATCGTTGGGCGGATTCAGAGTTCTCCTTCTAGCATAGATCTCCACTTCATTTGTTTGTAAAAGGCATGTGCGGCCTCCATTCTGGGATGCATTCAGAAAACTTTTACTGAAAAGCAAACTTAAAATGGTCCACCGCCGACAATCAGCTTAGCAATGATTACATGCTCAAAGATACTGGAAGTGAACAATGATTTATTCCCCCGTTGACCCCAAAAGGCTCAGGAGGCGGAAGACAGGGTTTTGCTGTTTACTTTATTGCATACTATGCACGAAAAAGAGGAAGACGTGAGTTAAACAAAAATAAATAGTCACACTTATGCACGAAGAAGACAGATTTTGTGAGCAAGGCACTGCGGTCTGGGCCACTGCAAATTAAGTGGAAACACGACAGTCTACAGTCCTATAAACGTGGATACCAGAACACTAGCAATCCAAAACCATGTACACATAAACCAAACCAAACCTGGCAGCTCAGCTCTCTCATGAGCTGCACAGCAGAAGAGTCTCACAGGTCTTCCTGGCTGCAATAGCCCTGAGGCTGGCTGCCAGGCCCCTTCCTCTTCCACACCCACCACTGGATGGCTTCACGCTGCTAGCCTTTCCTTCAGCCAGTTGCTGAGCACAAACCATTTGCACCACTAGGGCAGTTTAATGGAAGTAAAGCAACCCCACTGCCATCCATGGATGGATTCCGACTCGTCGCCAGCCTACAGTGGGCTTCTGAAGCTGTGAATCTTTATGGAAGCAGAGAGCCTCATCATTCTCTTGTGGAGCACCCAGTGGGTTTGAACTGCCATCCTTGCCACTATGACCTGTGAGAGCCACCAGGACACCTTAAATGCAAGCAAGAACCCAAGAAATGGTGTAGCGTCGAGATTATGTTTTTCTGGGGCTGGGGAAGACAGAACATCTCTTGCTTGGCTAGACATCTGAAGTGGATAATGAGTTTACTTTGAACAAAGCCCTTATTACACGCCAGGCATTGTTCTACATGTTTACATACAACCGTATTTAATCCTCGCACTATGAGGTAGGTCTTATCAATATATCAAAATAGGATCTTGGCTTCCACAGCCAATGGAAATTAGTTATTCCTCTGAAGGCATCAGGAGGCCCGAAGGTCCGTCTGTTCACGTATGTACGAGAGCTTTAAAAGTCCAAGGGAAAACAAAAGGAATTAAAAGAATGGATTTCCCATGAACTTTTTGAAGCCCCCCATGGGTGACCACTTGATCTAACCAGAATAAGATTGTGCAAAGGAAAGAAATGAAGCGAGTTTGGAGTCACCATAATTACGAGAACACATCCTTTCAAAAGCAGCCTCCCTGTAACGTGGGTGAGAGTTTCCTTGTGATTTTTACATGCTGAAACTCTATTAGGAGAATAAAATCATCAGCATGCAAGATTAATCCTCTAGGGAAACCAATTATCATGGACAATTGTTAAGTAGCTATGGGTGCTAATTAGCAAACATTACTGATACCAAGGGAATGCTTTTAAAGAGAGAACATTCTTCTGGAGCCAATAAATGCTTATTAAATGTTTTAAATCTCTAACTGGCGCACAGTAACATTAAACGGTACTATTTATGCTAAGGTATGTGTAGGTGTACACGTCTATGTATACACACACAGGAGAGTCCTGGTGACAGTGATTACACATGGGGCTGCTAACTGCAAGGGTCAGCAGTGCAAAACCACCAGCTGCTCTGGGAGAGAAAGACAGCTCTCTGCTCAGGTAATGCATTATCGTCTCGGAACTCACAGGGGCAGCTCTACCCTGACCAACAGGTTCCCTGAGTCAGCATCAACTCGATGGCGGGGAGGATGCTTGCTTGTTACCATTTCCTTTTTAGAGTTCTGTCCGTGGTTCTAAGTGGCATTTCCCACGATCTGAAGACCCAGTCCATCAGGGGAGTCGGGGTAGGAAATGCCCAAGATGAGCCTGGGCGTCCTGCCACGCCCAATAGCAGGGACACATCAGGAGCCAACTTAGAGTGACTCCCACTGGTTAAAGGTGGGACGAGGCATATCAATAAGGGTAGCAACTGCAAATGGGTTCAAATATATCAAAATCTGTTAAATCCATGAGCTTATGGTGCTACTGAATGACTTTTCAAATACCTCACTGTTCACCTTTGGAAAGCAATAGGGAAATCCGCAAATAAAGGACAAGAAGCCAAGCCTTTCACTTACCTTCATCCTACAACCCAGAGGAGGAGTCAGGCAACTTTACAGAGAGGGTACATTTTTTCAACTCTGCAGGCCCAATAATATGGACTCACTGCACGCTGCGCAACACTGCCCTAGCAGTAACGAAATAGACACGGTCCAGGTGGCTGTTTCTCATAAAACACACACAATGGATGGATGTATGGATTGTGATAATAAAATGATTAAAAAACCAAAAAGTCTATTCAAAAAACAAGTGGTGGGCTAGATGTGCCCCGTGGGTCTTAGTTTGCTGACCTCTGACCTAAGGTAACTAAACAAGAGGATGCAGAGTAGCCTCTCCTTTTAGAACTATTACATTAAAGTTTTGGAGGCAGAAGGAATGACTTCCATACACCATCACCATCTTGGAACGGCTAACAAAGTAATGACTCTGTCAAGATCTGAGGTGGCAACTTGCATTACAAAAAGGCTCTTTTTATAGAGCTCTAGATAAAGACATGTACATATGCAAATATATTATATGAGGATGGGGAAATAGATCTATGAGCCTACATTTATAGG